GTATCCACTTATTTTCCTTTCCCAAATTCTTGTATGAGGCGGTCTGACCGTTTGGCGTGTCGGCCGCCAAAAGTTTACAACATAAATGCATACGTATATAAAATTTAGTCGTTTTGTTTATGTCGTTCCTTAGATTATGACTTTTTATGTTATAGATGGGTCGATCTGTCATAATTTTTAAGGAAAGTACATATTTATGATATAGAATGTCATACTTTTATTTATAAAGTCTGCCTAACAATAGCCATACAAATTTATTTATTTATTTGATTTTTGTTTTCAATTTTTAATTAAAAAAATGAATAAATGAAATGAAAAATCATTTTATAGGATGGAGAGGACGTGCTGAATATGAAGGACAATGGGTTTCTCACGCCTGCCAACGTGGGCCTTTCTCCTTACTGAGAAAGAGAACGACAAAGCCTTTATTTTCCTAAAAACATTATTATGTACTATTAATTAGTGTGTTGAATGTGTTTGTGTTTAATCAACAATTAGCTTTTTAATTATGTCATTAGGGTTTCCTAATATGAATGTTTGCTGTGTACTGTGTCTCCTTGGAAAAGGACTACTGGTTAAAATGGTACGCTTTCGTGTTGCTTAATTTGTTTTTGGAAAAATTATTTTTAATGGTACTCTAATCTCTACAGTAAAAATCTGATTATATACTAACTAATTTGATTATAATTAAGTATATTCTTTTTTTTTTAGAATGTGGAATATATATTTGCATATGGGAATGAATAATTTTCCGTTGCCTATATTTGTGAGGGGAAAAAGTTCAATGGCATTGAAGACCACAGGCTTTTAAGTCTGGTTAAATTTACCAATAAACCCATGTATAATTTGTGCCAAACTAAAATTGACTCCCACGAAACATTCACTATTTTCTTTCTGTGGTCAAATATGGAAATTCTATTAAGTTTGATTTTGACGTTCTAATTCATACAAATTCCAGGTATTATTTTGAAACATGAAATCTTATCTCGGTCTAATGGGAGGTCTCTACCTCTAATTTTCAACTGTATAATTAAAATTTTATAAAACTAGAATAAATAGATCTCAATAGAAACTAATAGATCATGTTTTCACACTCCACATTTTTTAGTCTACCATTGGACTAGATAAGTTAATACTTCATTATCAAATTGATTCATGTACTAGATTACTGAATTGCACATGACAAACATCAATTACTCGTCCCATTATAATATTATAAAGACTAATAGTTTAGATTTTGCCGAGACATATATAAATTATAAATTGGTAAACCAATCTAGAAAGGCTACAAAGTAGATTAATTCGGATGAGATTACAAAGTAGATGTGTCCTTATTTCGATTATGTTGCTAGACACAAATAAACTTTCATTGGGCCATTAGTTGATCTGGAGCCATCATAAAACTTATATATATATATAATGACTAAGCCCACTTACAGAACTAAAGGTCTTATTGGCCCATTAGTTGAAGTGTAGCTTGCTATATTGCCAGACACAATTAAAGCCCAGTCTATTAGTTTGATAAATAAATCAAGTTGGAGTCTATTTAAAACTCGTTTAGTAATAGAATCAAGCTTGGGTAGCTGCTCGTCTATAGATTTGTTAAGTTAACTAGATTTGATAAAGACATGAATTTCAGAAGCTTAAGCTCGTCTAGATTCGACTTATTTTACGCTTGTAAATGATTTGCAATATTCTTTTAATTAAATTTAAAGCCTTTGTTTTTCATAAGAAAACATTTGAAACATTTTTCAGAAATTGGTAAACCAAAGTATACATAGTATTGTTTTAAATAGCTCGCTATGTAGCTTGCTATTGCTCGCTATATAGCTTTTTTTAGAAAAAAATGTGATGTAGCCTTGTATATTTAGTGTTTTTCTCGAAAAGCTTACGCGAAATGTTGAAACAGCACGCTTTCTTACGCTATTTCACGCTATTGTGCGTTACATTGCGTTATATTTCTACAACGACATTTGAACAATAATATTCAAAAACTTGTAATTTTTAGGGATCAGAGTCATATTTACAAATGACAATTAAAACTAAAAATTTTGATAATGATTTCAAATTAAAAGTTTGAAAATGTAAAGTCTTAATTTGAATAGTGTAATATTTTTTAGTCTATTTTTGTTGTATCATTTTATCTCTTGATATTTTACATTTAAATAAAGAATAAAAAGTTCCTATCTAATGGTTAGATTTATGTTGTAGTTAAATAAAAAATAATAATTAAAATGCATATACTTAAAATTATATTATGACTTACCTCATTGTATTTTCGTTGTTTGTTTTTATCTTTTAGTATTGATATTATTAAATATTTATATTATGATGATATTTATATTAAACATTTGTGAGAATTAATCCTTAGATGTTATTTTTGAAGTCATTCAAATACTATGATAATTTTTGTAATCAATCATCCATTTTATTATATGCAAATATACTTGTAATATTTCTATAAAAAAAAATTATACTTAAATAGCTTACGCAACATGCAACGCTATTTACGCTACGCAATATAAAGACTAAAACGCGACGCATTACGCTATACGCGTTTTAAAACATTGATATATATTGATGGATTTTTTCATTAGGTGAATATTCATGTCGAATAATTAATTGATTAATTTTTATTCATTTACCTTAGAAAATCCGAAATTATAAAATGCTATATAAATTCGAAAAAAATATATTATATGCTATTAAGCAATCGTCGAATAAGGAAAAACAATAAATGAAAAACTTGCCCTCGCTTATTCACTGCCTTTAGGTGTTTTCGTCGGAGGATGAAAAAAGTACTCCTTTGAGCAATTGTTTCATTAAATTTCCCCTTTCGTTTCAGTAATTCTCGATTTCGAGCGCATACCGATACTCACGTTTCCTTTGATTTAGACCAAAGTTGATAAAGATGAGCGTAGGGGATTTTCTCAGCGTTCAGCCATCAGAACTAAAGTTCCCTTGTAAGCTCGATTTGTCTTTGGATTTAATAATTTCGCACTTTGTTCATTGTACGATAAAAGATAACGAAGAAGAAGTAGAGGGCTACTGTTGTTTTTTTTTTTTTCCTTGTACTGTCTATTTTTTTAGGTTTTTGTCAATCCAAGATTGGATTTTTACAATCTAAAAATCTAATACAAAAGAACTGAAAAATTGTTCCTTTTCATTCTGGATATGTTAACTCTAGTTGTTTCTGTTTGCTTTTTATGTGGGCTTATGGCTGAAGTTGAATTGAAGAAGCATAGCTCATGCTGTATGGAGTTGTCAAACAGGACAGATCAATATATAGCATTTAAGGTTTGTTGTAACTTGTATTTCTCAAGAAAAAATCGAACTTTTGTTAGTTTAATTAATTACTCATATGCGTGTGTGATTTATCATCATGTCTTTTTAATTGAAAAAAAAAAGGTTAAAACAACCAACCCCAAAAACTATTGCGTTCGCCCGAATGCCGGCGTTGTTCTGCCCAACTCCATCTGCAATGTCACAGGTGAAAGCCCTTTTCTTGGTTTAAATTCAATGTTTAGTAGGATTTACAAATTTGTTTAATTGGCTCTGTTAAACTCCGGATAAGTGATAACTCATCGTTTTAAAATTTTCTAGCTCGTTTTTGGTTTTATGTTAGTCACTATGCAAGCCCAGAAAGAGGCTCCACCTGATATGCAGTGCAAGGATAAGTTTCTTGTTCAGAGTGTGATTGCTCCACAAGGCACTACCAGTAAGGAAGTTATCCAAGAAATGGTGGGGTTTTTTTTTTTTTCGTTTTGCATTAAGTGCAATTGGTAGTGTATTGAGAAACATGATGTTTATGTTTGAATTAATTTTATTTTTTTTCTTCCCGGTGGTAAAATGCAGTTTTCGAGGGAAGATGGGAAGGTAGTTGAAGAGATTAGGTTAAAAGTCGTTTATTTTCCAGCTAATTCTCCTTCCCCTGTGCCTGAAGGAGATGAGGAAGGGACTTCGGCTGAGGATGAGATTCGGAAGCCAGTGTTGTCTGAGGTTTTCAAGTCTTATTAGTCGATGATTAATTTTTTTTCTTTCTTTCATTTTTCCATTTATTTTTACTTAGATATGCTAAAAATTTTCTTATATATGCAGGTCGCAAGATCATTGAAGCAATCCATGGGAAATTCATCTTCTGAGGTAATCCCCCTTCTAACCCCTCCGAGCCCAAAAAAAGGAAAAAGAAAAGGAAAATTGCTAGAAATGTTAACTAACTACTTATGATTTTTTTAGTCAAATATATTTAGTATACTGTATCTGTATAAGTTATGTGCAAAAAGGAAGAACATTGCACTTAGTAGTTGCCTATCTTATGTGANAAAAAAAAAGAAAAAAAAAGTTGGAGTTTTTGCTGATTTGATGCATTTTCATGTCTTCTCGTAGGAAGTCAATTCAAAAACTATTGTGAATTATTATGCCTTATAGCTTCTCGTTTTTAAAGGTTTTATGTGAGCAACTAATTACTGAAAATATACAGTTATGAATAGTTAGTTAATTGTGGGTGGCTCTTTTTATTATTGGAGCTAAAAAATGATCTCGTTCCATCCCTTTTAAGTTTTCTCTAATTGTTCTATTTACTCGACTTTTCGGGTTGAACTGTATTCTAAATTGAAAAGTGTTATGTTCAGTCGTGGACAGCTGTCGTCTCAAAGTTGAACGAGGAGAAAGCATCTGTTACTAAACATAATCAAAGGCTCCTCAGAGAATTGGTATGTTTTTTTCCTTTTTATTTCTTTTCATTTTCCAACTTCATGACTTGTTTTTGTGACCTTCGTTATATTTCTTTTCAAACATTGGAAGATATCTGCATAACTTATAACGAATGGGAAAACCGGCAGATTTCAACTGAACTTTTGGGGTCTCTTTTCCTAACTAATATTCTTTACACATTATTTAGATCAGTAAGGCTATGCATGCTTTTGAATTGAAATTTCATACTCTAAAAAAAACAAATAAACAAAATTCTGACATTTCATAACATACTGATTATGTAGGAATCGATCAAAAAGCAAACGAGAAAAGGGCAAGGCAATGGTGTGTCTTATGTAGTGCTGGTGTTCGGTCTGCTTTTGGGTATTTTGGTTGGATATTTGATCGGAAAATAAAAATATTTTACCACTATAATGCAAGATAACTTTTTTTATTTTGTTTTTTCAAATTCGGATGCCATAGATTATCGTCATCTGAACTTCCATTTTCCTCATTGTTGAGAAATTTTTGGATGTGTTGGCTTTTACGTGTGGAATTTGTTTAGTTATTCTAATGTCTATTATCTTTCTATTATCTTTTGATTTGATTCTTTTAGAATTGAAGCATACCCTATCTTTTGACATTAATAAGATGATTGGATGTTCTTGTTGGGTTCAGTTTTTCTTTCTCTAAGGTGTGTTCATTTCCTGTGTGTATTATCTTATATGCACACTTTTCTTAGTGCTTTTGTTGAGAAATTTTGTTTAAAAGCATTTTGATTTCATCTAATGGAATGGAACACAAAATGATGTTAGAAAGGAGAAAGTTTATTAGTGTACACAAAATAGAAGGTCAAATTTTACATATGCACAAACATGAAATTACATTCAAGTTTCCCAAAAAAAATTTAAAAATAAAAAGAAATAAAAAATGTATGCGGCTAGTGGTTATATGTACATACATTAATCTTATTCTTCAAAGTCTTCAGTTTTGCCTCTGTTTGGTTTTCTGTAAGTGCCCTCAAAATGCTTGGCCACCACAAAACCAGCTTTAAACAATTTGCCAATGTTTGGGACATTGTAATTTTGTGCAATGTACATGCCAAAAAATGTACCTGTCATGAATGTGAAGCTTCTTATGATTAAAGCCATTCTTCTTCTTCTTTTTTTTTTTTTTTATAATATTGTACAAATTACTTACTCTAATTTCTCAATACTTGAAAAATAAGAAAAAGAAGAAGAGAGGAAAACTAAAAACTATTTCCTATTTTCTTTCTGAACGAGTGTATGAGAAGGAATAAAATAATATCTTTCCTGCTTTTTCTCCTCTAAGGATCATTAGTTTGGGATATNATCCTATATTCCAAACATCTTTGTGTGAACTACACTCCAATCTGATTTGCAGAAATTATATGGCGCCCATATGAGCGTCATAAGCCATGTCACAATCTTATGTGTCATATAAGGTGGCTTTATCAATTTTATTTGTAATATCCAACATGGCATAATTGAGGTGGCTTCAAACAAGAATTTTCCCATCCTAATCAAAAACCCTTCGTAATTAGGATTCTTCCTCAATTCATATACCTAATGCTTCCATAAAAATAAATTGATAAAGCCAAGCATATCCAGAGCAGGCTTCCTCAATTTATTTCACCAAAAATGAAGAAATCCCAGTGCAGGTTTTTACTCTTTTCATTTCACCAAACATATCGAGAGCAGGTTTTTACTCTAATGAATTTCCTGATCCTTGATAAGACAGAGAGATGGGTGAAACTCAAAATATACACAATTATCTTTGGCAAATTGTGAGACACTCACTAGGTTCTTAGTAATGGTAGGTACATGAAGAAGATTTTTCAGTACAAAGGTTTTAGAGTGCAAATCAGATTTAAGGTAAGAATTGCCAATATGAGAAATGCATAAACCTGTGCCATTACCTATCTGCAGCTTACTGTTGCCTTGAAAGTCAGAAGCAAGGTTGAGGTTGGCAAGCTCATTTGTGACATGGTTTGTGGCTCCTGAGTCAGCAAACCAGCTTGCTTCAGTCATAGTGTCACTAGCTTGAGTGAGGTAGTGAGCAGTTGGTGGTGCAGCTTGGTTTGGAGTAGTTTGAGCTACTTGGGCCTGCATATTGGTTGGTCCTGGGTAAGTTGAGTCATACCGATGATAGCAACGGTCTGCTGTGTGATTGGAGAGGCCACACAGTTGACATGCAGGCCTGTTACCTCTGAAGTTTCTTCCTCTCCCTCTAGAGTTCCTGCCTCTTCCTCTGTTGGAGAAATTGTTGCTTCTGCTAAAAGGCCCTTGGTTCTGATTGTTGGGAGAGTTTGCATGAAGTTTGCTGTTATGGTTGGAGTTATTTTGAACAGCAAAGTGAGCTGAGGGATTTGAGCCATCCATGTTGACTGTGGGCTGTGACTGAAGATCCATTCTTGATTCCAAGCTCAGGAGCATAGAGTGAACCTCATTTATGGTGTATGGCTCAGATCTGGTTGTTACAGCTACAACCACTGCATTGTACTCTGACCCTAGCCCTGCGAGGATATGAAGAATGTGGTTCTGATCACTAACTGGCTCTCCAGCTGTTCCAAGTGCATCACAACAGCTCTTGACTTGTGAGAGAAACTCCCTCATGGACATGTTCCCTTTCTTGAGGGTTTGCAGTTGCAGTTTGAAATGCATGAGCCTGGCTTTAGATTGACCCGAGTAGTTGGACTCTAGGGCTTGCCAGATCTCCCTCGAGGTGTTCTTGCCCACCATCATGATTAGAAGATTTTCAGAGAGAGAGGAGAGGAGCCAGCTGGCTAGGAGCTGATCTTGTCTAACCCAGCTCACATACTCAGGGTTGACTTGGATCTAACCTGTGTTGTCTGCAATGGTTGTCGGTGAAGGAGTCAGATCTGAGTTGGAGATATAGCTTTCAAGTCCATAACCTTTGATGGTGGTTAGGACTTGCTGCTTCCACAGGAGAAAATTTGAATCTGTGAGTTTGAGAGACACTAGCTGATGGTGTGGTTGGATAAGGTTATTTTGAGGGCCAAGAACTTGTGGTTGAGATGTGGTTTGGCTTGCTGAGGAGTCTGCCATTATAGCAGATCTCGAGGGCAGGTTTTAAACAATGAAAGGGACAACAATGGTCACCAGAGACAGGTCAAATACCTGCTCTGATACCATGTTGGACGATGAGCTTTTGCAGCATTACAATGAACAAGAAAGCAGGTAACATATTGCAAAAGGAAAGGCCAAACATCTTTTCATTAATTGTGTGTGAAAGAAGAACATTGTACATGCCTTATATAGATCAAGTAGGCAGCCCTATCATAAGCTAACCCTAATCCCGAAACCAACACAAAAGGACCACGTGTCCATGCATGATGACATGCAAGAGAGAGAAAAGAATTACAGCTGGAAAACGCAACAGAAGAAAACAAAAGTGAGAAGGACTTGTACTGGTTTTATCCATGAGGTAAAATATGGTTACTGTGAGTTGTATATTGTTTCTTAACGATGGGGATCTGTTAATTTCAAGTCAAGTTGCAATAAAGACGCTTAATTAAAACACCGGTAATGATTATATTCAGTTTTGCTATGAAGTTAACAGTTGGCTCTATAGTGGAGTCATCCTTTTATATACAACTAGTAAACCATATCATATTAATAAAATTATTAGAGCATCTTCAATGCTCTAATGTTGTTATAGATTAAATTATGACAAATGTCAATAAATTAAATAGATTGTGAACCATGTAGAAATAATGTTAAGTTCACAACTATGAAATTTAAAAATCATCTCCAATGCACAATGTAGTCTACCTACAATATTATCTACTTACCAATTATTAAAATTTTAATAAAAAGTGAGAAAATTAATTAAATAATTAAATAGCTTGAAAATGGTAAGAATACTCTTCTCTCTTCTTTTCGTTGGCTAGTTAGGGTGTGGAGGAGAATGTAGATGAACCACATTCTTCTCTACATACATTAATTATGTCCACATCACCACAACATTTGTGATCACATTGTACATTAAAGGGATGAAAAGTTGTGATATTACTAATATGTTGTTGTGGTATGTAATTTACCACAACAACATTTGAGCATTGGAGATGCTCTTAGTATTATTCAAGTAATTAGAGAGTATGATTTACTTGTTGTATATAGAACATTAGCTCTACTATAGAATCAAATATTGGTTCATAGCAAAAATGTGATTATATAAACCTATTTTAGCATATTTTAATTTTATTGTCACATTCTATTGTCCAAGAGGCAACAACATGTTTCTTTTAACGCATGTGATGGTAAAATAGTATTTAATTTTATTTGTTAAGAATACAAAAGTATTTATAAAAAAAGCAAATAATTTTAGTTGGATGGCAATTTAATAGATCTTTTTTTGAAATGTTATATATATTTTTAATCAATATTTAATTAAAACACTGCATAACCTTACGTACCACATCAACATTTTGCACTATTCGTTCACAAAATTACAGTATATATCTACCTTAAAATTCAATCTCCAATTATAAATCTCTGTAAGTACTGCTAGTAATACAAAAGGAACACAAATTAAAGACTCTAAAATATAATTAGCCCTATAGATTATAACCATTAATTTGACCTTAGAAAGAAAATTATGCATTAATTTTGCTGGCCGATCAATTGTGGGATGGTGGGCTCGTGCCGGCCAAGACGTAGTCGATGTCGAACTCAACTTGTGATCTCCAAGAGACATGTAACACGTTATCCTGAATTCCAAAATATAAGAAAAAATATATATATATGTATTAAATAAAAAGGAAAAAGCTTATCATTTTCTGCATAATATTCCAAATTAAGACATATATTGAGAAATTGATGTAAATTGAAGTCAAATTAAATTAACCTTAGCTGTCCCAAAGTTCTGCTCGAACTTTTTTGGCTCGTCGGCATGGATAACTTTCAAGTTTCGAGCATTGCACGCATGGAAAGCAAAACAAAGTAGAATCATCACAAGAAACTGTAACGTTTTCGACATTTCGAAGCAAGAAAAAAAAAAACAAAAAACAAAAAACAAAATAATCTAATATAGAGATGAGTAATTGTGCACAAAATATCAGTAATTAAGTTGTTAGAGATTCGTTTGGAAGTGGCTCAAATTAACCAGCACGCAATAATATATATAGACAAAAAGATGATGCAATTAATTTGTTCCAACTTAGGGAACCTTTATTTTCCTTGTCTTTGCATGTGAAGGAACAATGAGCNTGTAAGAAAATTTGGTTCTGTACTAATTTTTGGGAACAACATATATAAGACGGAACATTTAAGTTGTGTAAGAAAAATTGATTTTGTACCAATTTTACTGTTTCATTTTTTGTAAATGGAATATTTATAAGAAAATCTCAAAACTATTTTAGTTTGAATGATATATTAATTCTGAAGTTGAAATGTGAAAATATTGAGTTTAAGTAGGTATGTCAATAAAACCCGTAGAGTTGGGTTATCCAGATTTTCGGGTCGAGTAAACCCGATATGATCGAATTTTGGGCCGGGTTCGAGTAAAATTATGCTGCCAGAATCCCGAGTCAGGCCAGGTGCGGGTATAGTAGAAAAACCCGTTACCCAACCCGTTTACTCGCAAACATTGAATCTTTTACACACACACGTATATATATATATAGCTTATTATAATTGTAAAAGTAGTCATGTATTATTAATACTAAAAATTAGATTATTTATTATAATTTTGATTAACGGTTAAATTTTATTTTATTTTTTTATTTTTTTATTATTTTTTGTTAATTGTACAATAAGAAATTTAAATGCTTAATTTTAAAATGTTATATTATTAACTAAACTGT